CAATGACCATTGTTGTGACCAGTGCCCGCTGGCGGAAACTCTGATAGGGAACGATAACGGGATGTTGGCTCTCTCTGTCGACGACAGAACTGAGCTATATGCCCGGCCATACCGCAACGGTAGCACACAGGGGCTTGGCGGTATGCATTGTACTCCTGGAGGCATTGCGCCGACGTGGTGGTGGTACGGCTTCATCTTCGTTTGGGTCGTAATAGGTGTTGGCTGGCTGATGGGGGTAACTGAAGCGGTCTTCGTACCTCGGCAGCGGGTAGTTATTGCGCTGGGACTTCGGTGGTGAAGGCGGCCTGTAGTTGCAGTCATCGTTGCTGCTGCGGCAATTGACACGAAAGGGCGAGAGGGAGGCAGTGCGGGTGTAGGCTCGTACAGCGTCGGGCGAGCATGTCAAGTGAGCTCTTCTCGGACTATCTGGCGTATTGTCGACGCGAGATCAAGCAGTGTGTATTTTTCAACACTTGCCACGGTGGTTACATTCGGTAGGCGACCGAACTTGGGGGTGATACGTCGCATCTTGAGGGTCTCGAATGTGCGACAGTGGCTTATGACGTCGGTCACCGTAACAAGGCTGTCTTTGCTGATGAGGAACTGATGCACGTCCTCAGCAATGCCCTTCAACAGGTGGCCAACTTTGTCTTCCTCTGACATTGAAGGGTTGGCAAACTTGCAGAGCTTCAAGATTGCCTCGACATAGGTCATGCACGTCTCTCCTGGGATCTGAGCTCTCTGCAGTAACGTTTGTTCCGCCTGCTTTCTCTTAGCTACGGAGTCTCCAAAGCACCCTCTTATTTCAGAAACGAAGCGATCCCATGACGTGAGCGATCCCATGACATGATCTTCGTGGTTCTCGTACCACACGAGTGCTGTGTCTGTTAAGAAAAATACTACATTCGTAAACTGGGTCGCCGCATCCCACTGGTAGTATTTGCTCACCCGTTTGTGTTGTGTGAGCCAGGCATCCACGTGCTCGCCAGATTCGCCACCGAATGTGCGAGGCACTATCAGATCCTGACGCAACCAGGGACTAGCCGCACGTGAACCTGGTACTAGCGGTGCTGCTGGGGCTGGTAGAAGGTCTGCAGCTGTGGCGATCCGGTTTCCTTCTTCGTCGTGAGACATCTCAGCTGCCAGTGGTAACGGGGGCAGTCCAGCAAGGCGGCGGCTTCGTCGTAGAGATCAGGTGCTTGAAGCGTCATGTTGCTTCGTTGATTACCCAGCGCCTTCACCACAAAACTGTTATGGTTGAATTGAAGGACAGGTGGATTTATTTAGAGCGTGAGGATGAAGTTCGGCAGTCGCGGTAAAGATGGAGTCCTCAGGCCACACCAGACAACGTCTTCTTCCTCTTCTACCTTTCCGGCAGATACTACAGCCCGGCTCATACCGTAGCAATATATAAACTGGGATAAAGTGGATATTTTCTTTGAAAAAGTAATATTAAACTCTAAAAAACACCATGGTAATTTAAGAAATAAGCAACTTAAAGAACTTATAATTGGAAAAGATGCACCCCAAACAGCAATACATTTGTAGCCTTCATAAGAGCTTTTCTCGTTCATAACATGCCATAAGTCTATTGTGGGTGCTTCAATGCCGTGTAGCTCGGAGTTGCAGTCACTCTCATCAGTTTAACCTTCACCCGGTTGTAATATTCAAATTTTTTTCCTTCGAGAAACGTACTATATCTGATTTGTCCAGCTCCTTGCGAAAGCATAGTCGCTGGCCACAGTTCTGTTAGCAGTCACAAAAGGTACGTGGAATGATTTTTTCGTTGTCACAGTGGTCACAAGCTGTGGTATCGGCCATCTAAATGCGGAAAGCATGAGACAACTGGCTATACTCTAGAGCAATCATATATGTACATGCGCTTCTCACCAAGTGATAAAAGAAAGAATAGAACAAATTCAACACACAAAAATGTAGTAAGAATCATACAAGGCCAAGAAGTTTTGAAATGTGATAAACGTACACGAGTTCCCGTTTCCTTGCTTTTTCGAGCCACAAAAAAAAACAGAATCGTGATCGTAACTTGCTTTATTGATCACGGTTTGGTTCCTGTTAAAGCACCAGTTCTGGAAATTTTTGAAAGTTTTGATTTACATACGTCTTATCACACAACACGCCTATTTGATGCAGCGCACAGAGCTTTATGAAGGCAAAGTAAGAAAGCATGCAACTCGCTGTCATGTGCCAGCCCTGAGAATTTCTGGCGTGTCTTTGGTGCATCGTCCCTTAAAAGAGTTCCTGCGGTGTCATGCTGTGCACGGCGGTAAAAATAGATGATCGATTTCAGCTTCTCGAAACGTGTGCGCATAGAGGAATCCTTCCCAGAAAAAAAGTACATTACGACACAGAAAACGTCGAAACGACGCAACATCGCTTCTGTGTATGACCTGGCGAGTACATGTGACGCAATATGACCTTGCGTGCGCATGACACGCTGATGCGTCTGCGTCGGTATCGATACGTCTCCAATACCGAAGGGAGCAGGGAGGTAATCAGGCTTGGCAGTACATATTGGGCGAGTGGCAAATGTTTTAAGCACAGCTCCACACAGCATGCTTCCGAAGCTGGTAATTAAAATAAAAAAAATCTTGTGGTGCGCCCCCTTTCATTGGGCACGCAACTATTTCCGTTGTCTATGTAAAATTTCTCATGTGACCTAGTGAAGCGCCCTTGAAGAAGTAAATCACAAACAAAAGAAAAACCACGTGTACATCCTTCGTCTTTTTGATCTACACTCTACTTTCCCCTGACGGCACTCCGTGGCTTTGCATTCGTTTTCCATCGTTCTCAGGCGGCACAGAAGCGCCTTCTGTTCTCTGCACGAGCAAGCAGACGACGTGAGGTGGAGAAATGCATGTGTAGAAACGATGGCCCTTCATATTGGCTAAGTGGCCTTGCAGCCTTAATAGTGCTGAAAATAACTCTTGAGAATGAGTATAGGTTGCACGCCATAAAGATTCGAAAGCTGAGTTTTGCCTGGTGACATAAATACCAGTCTCCAATGATGCTTTAGAGCATACTTCGAGCTAAAATAGTGTTCGTGAAGGCACTGATCCTATACATAGGCATTTAGAGCCACGTATAAAACTTTGGTACAAACTTCAGAAACAGACATTTGTAGGCACAATAAAACACTAAGGAAGAGCTTCCTAAACCCTAATTTAACCTCTTGTACAGTCTCCATCACATGCCGCGAAATCACATGCATCACATGTCCTAAACCAGTAGCTCCTTGTGGTGATGCCACATAGAAGACTTGTGGAAGTTGCTCTTAGTAACCAAAGGAGTAACTATTTCACAGTGCGGAAATTCTGGTGTATTGCAAAGTACTACTGCATGGGAAGCTTGTTGATCATCAAATATATTTAAAACTGAAACTTTTTTAAACCAGGTAGTACGACTATGATTAACAAGCATGACTTCATTATATATTTAGTACAAAAAAATAACAAAGCATAATCTAGCCGTAGAAGTAGTAAAGAAGAGTCCACTGGCTGTAAAAGCAGCGGAAGTTTAGCTCTTTCTATCGGATATCGTAACAAAGAAAATTTGCTTGCACCATCCAGTTGAAGAAATTGCTGCCCGTATCTGCACACAAACACACGCGCAAAGTTTTTCAGCATTTTTATGAAATAAACATAAACATGAATGCTCTAAGCAGATCCTAAAATTAGGGGTAGGGGTCATAAGCTTCGCCTTTTAGACTTGAACGCGATGGTTATAATTAGCCCCTAGTGCGTACTTCAACTACTCAGTGCATAAGATTTGTTGTATGATGTTACTCGAGCAGTTTAAATTGTGATTTAATATATTGTAATGAATGAAGTCAAAAACGCCTTGCGTCAGGGAAGCATTAGCACGTCTCATATTTTTGTATGAGATATCATACTTCAAGCCACGAGCATATGCGCGTCAAATCTTTTCGATCTTACTATGCACCAACTACGTAGTCTTAGGCGAAAACGCGCACCCACACTTGTGCCTTTTGTAATGAGTGGCTGGCTCTAAGCCACAAAGTAGTTTTAATAATGACAATGTCTGACGCACGAACGCAAGTTCGTTTTTAAAATACACCAATGCTGCGATAAAACATGCTATATTTTGAAGCATGTATAAAAGAAGCTCCGTTTGTAACAAAACAATAAGTAATTTTACAGCACTTTAAAGTAGGAATATTTATAATTACATTGCCAAGCAGACCCGCAATTTTGTGGTAGAAGACCTGCTTTGAAAGAGGTTCGATCCCTAATCTGAACCAAAAATTCGATTGTTTGTAATATCTCCATCTTTCACAATTTTTTGCGGACGGACAAGATAATGATTGCTTTCTCACAACTAACAAAACTATCGCCAATACCAATGAAGGAATTTATGTGAAACGAGCTCTTTAGCGCTCTCTCGTTAAAATGTACGCAGTAATGTATGGCTAAGGTAATAAACATATTCGCCAATTTGACGAGAAAAGTGTGTTTATTGCAATGCAGAGGTTTCAAAGGAAAGTCACAACGAAAGCGGATGATTGATGTTGTAAGCAGACTTGTGTGTACGGCATATTTATACCGTAATGGCAGCACAAGATGGTAACATGGAGAGACAAACAGCTCTAGAGTGTGTGCGTGTCTCCGTGTTTCTATGTTGCGCGTGGTTTCTTTGCACTCTCATTGTTATTTAAGCAGAGCAAGATTTCTTCGATCGTTAAAGATCAAGCTTAGTGTCTTTATTGAAAAGCGGTCATTTTTGTCCACCAATGTCAAAGATCCCGTGAATATTACTCCGTGCCATAAAATTTCCTCTCTTGGTCTGCAACACTGTGTGCAAAAATACTTAAGCACAACCTATGAATTTCAGCGTGGGCTTAAAAAATAAGGTATATTTCATCATTCCTGCAGAACTGTCTTATTTTGTCAACCTTGGAAGGAGACAAATCGCTAACATTTTTGTGAATGCCACCGTATCGTGCAAACAAACAGAAGTCTTACCAATGAAAGCTGCAGCGACGCTTGGAATTGCTTTGATGTTTGTCATTGTGTATAGACAACTCAGCTAAACGCTATCCCTCGCTGAGCTCTTGGTCAATGCAGCAGAAAGAGAAGAAAAAAGAAGTTTGGTTGCCTCCATAAACGAGCATGAAGTATAAAATGTAAGAAATCTGTAACAGATATACAGAAACTGTTGGTATAATATACCTCAATTTTACTCAATACTTCAATTTAGTATGCCTCAATCTTTCCGAGAGGGACGTCTTTCCGAGAGAGAGACATGACGTTGAATGGCAAGCCAAAACTGGTGTCGTGATGTTGCTTTGTCTACTGCCATTTGCTGCTGAGCATCAAATCTTCGCGAAAAGGACTGCTCACATGACGTAAAAACATTGCAAGCGGTGCTCAGTGCACTTGTGTTGCAGCCGCCAGCTGCTTGAGCCGCCATGCGGCCGCGACGTGTTTTAAAGCTCCCTTCAAAAGAGGAGCTCTGTGTTCCCCGGCAACGTTTCGATATTGCCACGCTCCTTCCTCAAGCTTTCGTTATCGGCCGACTACTGGGTTGCGCAAACCTCGTCGAATGGCTAATAATCATTGATTTATTCTTAGAATATTCTTATGCAATTACGTGCACATTTTGAACATTACAGTTTCTTCAGAAACCTATGCAGTCGCTAGTTATAACGGTGAAATATTCGATGGATTGAGTATAAAGGCGACGCGTTTCACTGCTTGTCAGTTTCACGACAACCAACGCTAAATGCGCCGACATCAGTGTACAGCTGCATTGTTTGCTGCACTTCAAGTTTACGTTTGCCTCCACGAGTTTGGGTAAATAAAAGGCTTCACTTTGAAGTCACCGCCTGCTGCCTTTATCAACGTCACGACTATGTGACAATATATAGACGAGCTCTGCTGAAATTAGTCGACGACCACTGCTTATGAAAGGCGTTGAATTTTTCCGCAGCGTCTACTGCGTTGCGATAGTTAACATGCATCCTATTTGAGTGCCTAAATATACCCATACTATATCTGTTTTGATGTTATAGAAATCTTTGAGTCAATATATCCTGATGCTCTTCCTTACAACATCAAAACCTAGAGTTTTGATGGAAAAAACGACAGTGATGGCACTGACTAATAAAGGGCCTTATTAAGTGAATATAAATGATTGCGCACCTTTGGTCAGGTCAGCTCACATGAACATTATCCTGTGTTTCTAAAGGGGCCATTTGAGGACTTGGGGCTATCATAACAGACATATTAGCAATATCCATTGTCCACAGAGTTAACGCAGCTAATTCAAAGCGTCCACAAATAAAAAGGCAGCCTTGACATTCTAAATGCTGCGTACGCTGAAAAACACCAGCTGGTCTGAAAACGAGAACGACTCACAGCCAACCAATGCAGGGCTTTTTGACACCACAAGCTTTGCTACACAGATCTCTTTCATTAAATTTTGATATCATGACGCACACGAGTGGACGTTTTGTCGGAGCGACATTTGTGAGTCCCTTTCCTTGTTGTAAATGGAAACCTTCCAAATTACTGAGTAGCGCTGCTGTGGCGTGCAGGGTAATGACCATGTGATTCCACGTAGGACGTCTGTTTGTAGTCATAAGCGCTATAAAATAACTGCAAGAAAGATGGACAGATGGATTAAAGTTATTGGGTCCTCCGTAGCGTGCTTGAGCACGTTGCGGGCCGCTCCCACGTCGCAACAAAATGATCAAGTCTCTGTGCAGCGTCACGGGCTGGTTGGACTGCCATAACTGTTGTTCGAGCTCAGTGCTGTAATAGTCACACTCCCACCTTGAAGGCATGATGAACTCCCCACAGCGTGACGCAGACACCGCCATAGCATGTGTTTTGAATTAGCTACATGAGTGAAGAAGAAACATGTATTAGTTGGCTGTATTACGGGATAAATCTTAATCTTGCGCAATAGCGTGGACTTACGGTGAACCCTGTCTACAAGAAGCCTGAGTGTCCGAGCTTGAGGTCTGCTTAGTTTTCTACGTGGTGGCTATTGTCTCCACGCTTGAAAAAATGTATTGTCAGTTCGTTATACAAAATGAAAGGATCCCGATTTTTGAAAACATCAGCGCCGTGCCCCCCCCCCCCTAATAGCTATGAGGTTTACTAGTCCTCGCCCTGCTATGTGGCCTGGCTCATTGATATTGGGCGGGGCTCACTCAGTGCATACCATGTCAGCTTGGAACCACACGAGGGTTTGTCGCTCGATCTCCTTGTCGAAGGATCCGCAAAGCCAGTTTCGACATTGTGTCCTCGGGAAATGCTCTGCCCATCAATCTCGAGACGCTGTATATTGTGGACCTGCATTTGTCCAGGAAGGCCAGCACGATTGCCCCTTGCTGAGCTATCTCAGCCATCATCGTTCGGGTCGTTGTGGAGTTAGTGATACTGCCCTCGTGAATCATGCTCACTACCACATACGCATTCCCCTCGAGATACCAGGCCAGATTGATGAAGCAACAGTTCCCGGCGTGTTCCTATGCCCTTTTTAGTAAAGCCTTCGCCCCGGCCTGCCTAACAACTTGCTAATGCTCGGGGTTGACAGTTTACGGGATGGGCACAGCTATTATTTGTTCTTAGAGTCGACGAGTAATTCTGCAGAAGTGAGACTTCATTTGCACCAGTGGAATATCCAGCTCTCGCAGGACGTTTCTACAAAAACGCGTGGTGGACAGCCTAGCCAATTTACCCTCTCCTGTGCCTACGAAATTTAATCCGCCGTGTTTTGCATACCGAGAAGAAGCAGCCTGCCCGAGCATGGGGAGCCTAACAGGTCTCTTGACGTACTTTCTTATTAAAGTATTTTGTTTATTATTCTCCTTTCTGTGTCAGTTATTTTCACGTCATTTCACGTAGGTGAAATGGCACCTCACAAAGGCGTGTGATGGCGACTAAGAACGCAATCACCCACATCGGAGACGCGATGCTTCATGCAGAGAATTACTAGCCCGCCCAGCGAACAATATGTCGAGACGCGATGCTCGGTGCAACTGTGACCTTTAGCCAGGCGACGTGCCTCACGGTGCCGAACGACTGATCTTGGAAACACCTCGCTGAGATTCCTGATACCCTCGGCAAAGAACAGAACAGGACGTCAGGCCACGCCCTGACGTGCATTTCTTGTCCAAGTATTGCTGTTATTTTTCATGTGTCAGTACCAGTAACTTGGTCTTTCAGGAGCTTGAGAGCGTCTTGCATTGAGAGGCACGCCCTGAAGCCTATCATGTTGTGGGTGTTTAATATCGTGTTCATCCATTTATCGGGTAACCTTGTGCAAGGTGGCGTGTTCGACCACCTTTTCCACGCATGAGGTCAGCTAGATGAGCCGGGGGTTGTCGAGGCTGGAAGGTTTGATCCGCTTGGGGATGAGAATGGTGGCTGCCACATGACATCTGTCAGGTACGTACCGACTTCTCATTCAAGTTTCTCAAAGCCTTGTTCGTGGCAACAGAAGCGCAAGTGGGATGTTTGCAGCGGTTAACAAAAAAAAAACTGCCTGCGAACACGTCGGCGCTGCCACTTAGTCAAAATTTTAACAGTGCAGCGACATCGGCGTGATCGTTAGGTTTTTTTGCCAACTCAACCCGTGCCTCCAACATGCATGTCTGTGGGCGTTTGTCCTCTTTCGGACAGGTTCTTTCGTTCCACCTCCAACATAGAAGTTTCCACTCTCAATAGCAGGAAGGGCACACACGCAGTACTCTCGCACAGCTTGTTTTGCTTCGATCAAAATTTGCAGATAAATATAAGGACAAGTGGTGATCATGGACGCACGCATCAAGGGGACAACGCGGCTATGATTGAATACATAGTGAGCGCGGTGAGTTTAAATGCGTGGCTTCGTAGCTGCGTGGTGATATTACTTTTACTTCTGCGTGCGTGTGCACGTACTCTGAGCAATAAAGCTGATAGATTGATTGTGCCGCTCGACGTAAGTAATGCTCCCCGGCACCAGCAAGCGTGGTCGGCGTACGCGATCTTCACCACGTGCGACTT